AGTTTTTCAGTAGGTAAAATTGTTACCGTTGTGTTTCTTAAAATATGTACTTTATTTGAACGGATTTTTTTCAAATTTATCAATAGTGTTTTTATGTTTGAAAAACAAGAAACCAACGATAATATTATACACATAGTATACTTAATCACCCTGTATCCTATGTATCATCCACTGACAGTGGCTTACCCAATGCGTAAACCTATGTGCAGGTTCATATAGCATAATTCATAGGTACTATAGCAGATCTGTCATCACAGGAAGTAATTCGAAAAAAAAAAAACAATAACAGCAGCTATACACCTATACAGTGTCCTACTGAACAATTTCGCAGAAAATGTTTATTTATTTTTAACTTGACGACAGAAAAAAAAATATTCAATTCGACCGAGCTGCAACAGCAATAAAGTTATAATATTATATATCATCATATATATATATATATTAAAATCCCTCGCAGTCGAAAACACAATATAAAATATTGTCGACGGATCGAAAATAATATTCTGTTCGGGACACGATGACGTTAGATATAACAAAAAACCGAAAAAACTCGTTTGAATATACGATTCGCTAGGCGGGCGAAGTGGGCGATCGTTTTCTATACCGATAATATGACCGGCCGTGTGCATTATAACGGAAAACCGTATAAATATTATTATCGATGATGGTAAATAAAATTTAAAAAAAAAAATTCGCCGATATGTGCCGTTTTCTTAAATTAAAACGAATCAGACTACGTGCAGATGTACGTTTACCACTAAAGAAATCGTGCTTTTTCTGTTATTATTATATCTACTCGTAAAACTGCATCGGAAATTGTAAAGAGATAATAATAATAATAATAATAATAATTTTCCTCCTTATTATATTCAATACGCTCCAGTTTTTTACCACTATAAACGATCTCGGTAAATTTAAGATAACCCGTTTAAGATTAAAATCCGAGCGAATTTTCCTCCCGGAGGTTTTAAACACGTTATGTAGGTTTCAAACATTCTTCTAGATTCCTAACAGTTTTTATAAATTATTTAATGACGGCAAAATAAAAAACACTCATGGCAACAGTGTTCCATCACCAGAGTCGAATTTTACAGTCATTCTTATTACTTCGAGTCGTCTTTAGGGATGTTTAAAACTTCGTTTGTCCTGTAAAAACATGAAATTTGAGCGTACACATAGCGGAGACGGGGTTCTGCAAAATGAACTTGCTCGTCACTAACGCAATACATATTAAAATTGAATCCAATATAGTTTGATTCGGAGATGCTACTACTCCCGAAATTTAACATGTTCAAAATAAATAAATTCAAGTCAACTTGTTTCAGTTAAATCCACCTATAAAACAACATCAATTTCCGAACTTAAGCTTCGTTGGTCCCGAGGGAGCCGCTAAAACTACTAAGAGTTTTACATCGTTGTCCAAAAGTTAGATTGAGACAGTAAATGGCGTCCCGTTAAAAAAAGTAATACACACATTCCCTTTACTAGTATTGGCCTAACTTTTTCCTGATTAAACGATTCACATCAGACGTTTTTGAATAAAATATTGGTACAGACAGAGGTTGATTACGATTTCCAGAAGAATATATGATGAGTGATAACGATAATATATTTTCGACGATAAAAACTTCGGATGATGTCGGTATTACAGAATAATTTTCATTCACCTTGAACCGGTAATAAGAGACTTGACAAACGTTTGATGTAAATTTGATTCCAGGGTTTTCTGCGTATACGTAATTATCGACAGTATACGTCATATTTGTTTCGGACCGGAGTATATTTTTCCAGAAGCTTTGGTATACGCATTTAATTTAATGCCGAACCAAAATCTGTTAATTAATATAAATGCACAATAAATCGTCTGTATATTTTACTTGTATAATAATATATTATGTATAGCTAGACTTTAATCCAAAAACGATATTATAATCGAATAAAAAAAACATTAACTCGACATTAAAGGCACGTTCACTGTGTGACGGGAAATTTAAAAAAAAAAAATTACTATACAAAAATCAATACCAGCCATAGTTGCGATGTTGTTAGAATATAAAGATAATATAGTATACAATACATATTATATAATATATTTAATACATTTATACATGTTTGTGTTCTCTTTTTTTTTTTTTAGATATTTCTAATAATATAGGTAAATAAATTTTAATAAAATTAATTATATTAAATTTTAGGTAACAATATTTTGTTTAAGATTCGATTATAACGTGTTTGGGGATGACTCGTAAAAAAAAAAATTGTTCCCAAAAGATTTTATGGTCTCTTGAACATATTTAACCGTGGTTCTTCTGGAGCGTGAACGGTTTATAGGATTTTAATATTAGAAATAAATGAAGATCGTTTTAGTTAACTATTAATTTATAATATTTTATTTAAATTCACTAAGCAATGGTTCTTAATTCGTCCGACGGCAAGGGCGCCCGGAGATGAAAATCCATGGAGTGACAACCTTAATTATTTTTAATAACCAAACACTTTTATCTAATGTATTATGTGAATTTTCAACAATGTTCAAAGGTATTATAATATAACATTCAATTGTACACTTATAGTAATTAATTGAACACAAATTGCAATTTTATTTGATTATTCCCAAATTCATCAATCAATTTTTCTGTTCTTCGACTTTTCTTCCTTTGTAAACTTAACATACATAATCCGGATAAACGATTCTCTCAGATTAGATTACCGCAAGTCAGCTATCCGTCAAAAATATTCACAAATAATCGGCTGTAGTGGTTATTACCAACTTCAAATCGTAGGGCATAAATTATTAAAATATATTGTGATAAACAAACTAGCGGAATTCTATTATAACAAAGTATACCTAAGATATACCGACTAGGTACCAATCAAGGTGTATTGATACACCTTGGTGCCTACCAATGATGAATTTTGGGATTTTAAGATATTCAATTTAGATATAATTATTTCAACTTACTGGAAAGCTAGGGGGGAAGTTGTCTCCTCTGCTCCCCTTGTGGACTTCCTTGTCCGACGGAGTTTATTTACGCGAGATCGCAGAATTTCCGTCTCTCACATAATGGTTATTGGCTTTAGGCTTTACAATGGTAATATGGACAAGGTCGGCGTTAGGCTAGGGCAAGCGGGGCTTACGTCCGGAGTCTCGCGCTTTCAGAGGTCTCGCGTCCATAAAAAAAGGTAGCATAATTATAATGGTTGTACAATTGGAAAAACATTTTTTTACAGAAATTTAACGATGTTTTTTGGGAAAAACACGTACACGTACACGCGCGTTGTCTTAGCAAACAGTATTGCCGACCTTGACCAAGTGTTGGGTATTATTACAGTTATAAGGTGAGAGGAGTGGTGCGCTAAAAAAAAAAAATTCATGCATAAATATACATTTGTCCAGGGCCTCACAAATCGTAGTAACGCCGGCCCTGGATGTGAATTAGAGGGGAGGGGACGTAATGTCTAGTCGGCTTATATACATATATCTACACATATTACGCATATTATTTATAATATTTTATATAATCGTAATATAGTATACAAGATCGTTACAAAACGATTTAGAAGTATTTTTTACTAATGATAATACGTTCATTTGAAACCCCCTATTCTACCGGTCTGTAATTCCAATAGTAACCGGCGTAATAGTAATAAAATCTCGTAAACGGTCAACTCCCTCGAACACGTCTGTCCTATTGCGCCCGAGTGGGTATAATATTATAATTGACTCGACGCGTACTAAATATTGCAATATTATATACGGAAAATAATAATAATATATATATATATAAATCCTGACCTACCTGAATAACTCGATTTTGACCATAATATCGTTTTGACAATAATATGCGCGCGGTTTCTATTTAGGCGCCAAACCCGAAATCGATTAAACCCATACCCGCTCACTGATATTTATTTCAAGTACATCGAAAAATGGACAACTGCCAACACTACGCGTACCTATATTCATTAGGTAGCGTCGGCTAGCGGTCCAAAAAACATGATCTACAATGATTTGTTCTAAATAAACTATGACGGTACAATTTGTTATATAACATATATATTATACGATTATCGAAATTTTAAATTCCGGGTGTAACAAACAGAAGCTATACGAGTTTTACAAAGATATGTTTTCGGCCAGTCTTAGACTCAGTGGTGGCTTCCCATCAATTTGTTTGAGAGTTTACAATAACATTCTGCGTTACATCGAGTTTTTTTTATATTTGTTGTATGATTTGTACCGTTTAAAGAGAAATAAATGTCAATTTACAAAAATCAAATTAAAATATCCAAAATAGGACTGAAAATTAAAAAATAATAAATAAATTTTTGCGAATTTTTAGTTATAATTATCGAAATAAATAAAATATGTAATATTATGGTTTAAGTGATATAAGATTGTATGAACGGGCACTGATAAATATATTAAACAACATGACAAATTTGGTTTTTTTACTTTTTTATTTGACTATTTTGACTATCAAAACTTTTTTAGAGTATATTTCGATGCCCGTGATTTTTCAGCAAAATGTTGAAAGTATACGGCGTATGTGTAGTGTACCCTATGGGAGTACCACTGGTCTTAGTATCCACTAAAAAATGCCTTCTAAAAGATTATTCATGAATTATTTATGAGAGATCATTCTTCCGTCCCGGTGGTGCATTTTATTTGAAACATCGGGGACTTTTGGGTTACGTTTTAAGTACCGGGAAACTAACACGACTAATAAAAGTTTACCAATGGCTTATCAAGCCCTACTCAGAATCGTTTTTATTTTTAAATTGAAATCGTCTCTTTCGGTTTATAAACTACCTTCCCACCTACACAAATGGCCTACTCTGCACGATGGAAAGTGTAACAGCTTTATTTTACCTAAACAATTAAAGAACCTGCAATTAGATAAAAAAAAAGTCGACGATTGTTGGGTTGTGGGAAATGCGGCACCCTCTTAAACTAATTCGGGAATACAAATACTGAACACATATTGAGACAAGTTCCCCTAGATGTATTATCGTGTGGCGAACTACAGTAATCACATAATATACGAACAAAAAAAAAATGTTCAAAATATCACGGATATTTTATGAAAAAAAAAAAAACAAAAACTGTAAATCACACTCAGATCCTCGTATGGATCAAATCACGACTAGGTGATTTATCGAGATTTTGGCGAATACTATAATTTATAACTATCAAAACAAACGAAAAATATTGCGGCATAACATTTGAACGAGAACGTCTGTTGGCAAGATAGATTCGGAGGACAGAAGGTATCGCTCATCCATACAAGACTATACCAATTTGGAGGTTTTTTTGTGTGAGAATTTTCATCTAAATCATACAAATTGTGTACAGACAATTTCGTTATGTGTTAATATTATCACATTAAATTTGACGTTGAAAATATAGCAGCCCAATTAGATTGTAGAAAATTAAAGCTAAGCGAAATTTATGATAATTCCTAATGCAAGGAAAACTATATAGGAGGTAAATTTGGAAAAATATGCACAAAAACCAAACCCATATTATTATTATTATCATTATTATTATATTGTTATTAAAACCCATAAAATGTGCTAAAAAAAAAAAATCGACATTTATGTAAAATTATTTATTTTTTATATTATACAATTATTATAATTATTTTTTTTTTAAACATTTTCTGGGTTGAATACTCGCCAATTGTCGGTCAATATAATATTTTTTTCTCTAAAACTTGTGAAATATGCACAAAATGTGCAAAAAAATAAATCATGTTTAAACTCATGACCCGCATTCGTATCTATCGGTTTGCTATAAAATATAGAGGTCCAGATAAAACCATGCAAATCCTATGACTTTCCTGTCGTATTTATATCAAATTATATTAATCACTTTAATTCTATACATGCATAGGGTTGGGAAACCTAGAGATTTCAAGCCATCGCGCGCCGCCGTATCTGAAATAATAATTGCAGCGATCTTCCGGATTCCTGCGAAATGAATCCTTATCGTTCAATAATCGATATTATTGGTGCGATGAGCGGAAAAGTCGTCAGAGCATTAATTAAATATCACGCTTTGAATAGAACGCAATGTAAATATATACTTAATAATATTATTGTTAAATCGTGCACAGACAGACTTACGAAATAATAAAACTGTTCCATACAATGCAGACGCATATATATATAATAATATTGTTTTTTTTTTCCTGAAAAAACATTGTATACTAAACTTCGAACGGTATGTCGTGTGCAATAGAGGGGTAAGGTGCTGTGTCCCGACTTCCCATGGCTTTTCTTTCAAGCTATAGTTAAGGTCGTAGACCCCTAACTCTCCCCATTAATAAATCCTGGCTTCGCCGATAGTCGTGTGGTCTTTTGAGTTTAGTTGCAGTGAACTGATGTACACATTTGTGCTGAAATTTACGCGATTTATAAATAACGGTTCGAATTTACGTGGTACTTGTTCGTACTTATATAATATATAGCCTACATTACCGTTAAGACAATACTGACATACAAATTTTACTCCACCGTTCTCTGTCCAAGGCTATTCTCTCCAATTGTGTTAAATGGTATTTCTGTAGACTCTTTTCTTGTTAATCTGGTCTTTATAACCTAAAATGATCTTTTCCCTTTGGCATCTCCAGATAAACTAACTTTATCAGTAATCCTTCTTTCCTCTACCTACGAATGTTACACCCAATGTGACTTGTGATATTTGTATTGTCCGTATTTATTGTACAGTCGCTTCAGATACCGTATTTCCGATTCTCCTGCGCTATCCCGTGTTAAAATTCGTGCACGAATACAAATTTCTCTTTATAATATTTTTCATTCGAAAATACGAAATCAATATATTCTTTTCACTTTTCAGTTTTTGTGCTTCACTGCCATAAATTACAATTTATGTGATAAACGTGCGATATTTACAACGCACTTTTCAATTTGTCGATAGTGCAGATCTTAAACGTAGTAATTTTGTTAAAACCAAAATAAAAGTGACTGTTTCCCACTAAATAATACAATACATTCTGCATTAACTCAGATTGGATTCGAGAGAGGGTTTAAATAAATAAATAAATAATTGCCATGATGGTTAAAACTTGATAAGAAATACCTATCAATGTCATCTCATTCTAACGTAATAATTCATTTTAATGATGAGCAAAATTAACAAACATAAAACAAAATTATCAAATCGGCCGATACTCGGGGAAAATTATGTGTTTTATCATGAGGACATGGATGAGGAAGGCTATTGTTATCGATTTTATTACGACTATTAGATGGATTTTACATTTTACACGTCCCAGTAATTTAGGGGTTGTGTATAAGCAATTTTAATGAATTGTTTGAACAAAATTACCTACTCGAAAATATTCAAATACGCTTTCAAATAAATCTACAAGTGAATTCGTATGAAGTATAATTTACTGTGTAATCGTAAAATTAATTTACAAGCATATTCACAAAACAGAATGATTGAAAATGATATTCCATTCAAAGTGATTTAAGAAGTTTTTCTCGTTATGAAAAATATATAGCCAACAACATTATTTCGAGATTATGATTTTGATCTTCAATTGTTTTACAATTTTTTTAATTTATTACTTTTTTTCACTAAATAATATTTTCTTAAATTTTCATCATGGGAACATTTTATGTGTTAAATCACACTCATTTCGAGATCAAATATTTTTTTGAAACAATGGGTTTTTGATATTTATGCTATATGAAATATATTATAATATATAAAATGCTCGCGCTGAAGGTATAAAACAATTTTTTTCTGTGGTACAACCACAAAAAAAGAAAAGTTTAATTAATAATTGTCCACCAATACATGAATACTATACAATGACTTTGCCACTATTTTTATAAAATGGTGATATTTGTAAATAAACTTTTTTTTTCCTTATAAATATAGACTGTATTGTGTCTGTAGTATCCTTTCCCTTTAATTTTGGACACATTAAGTTGCACTTTCTGAACTAAATGAGGTAAAACTCAAGAATTCGAATTTTTTTATTGGCGTACTGAAGTGATACAATTTTAGTTTAGTTTCAATATGAATTTGACCATGTTTTTGTGGTGTTTATTTAGTTTTGTACACCCCTACAGTTCCTTAAATAAGGCCAGTAGGATGAAATTTTGTGTATCTATAGAGTAAGTACAGTAATTGGAGGTTATAGTATAATATCAGGTATTTAATGTTTTTTAACGAATATTTATATATTAAATAAATAGATGATAGAAAATTCGATTCTACCGACGGAAATCTGCCACTCACGGGTGTTTTTTTTTTTTTATCTTATTGACATTATTCCGCTCGTTATAAGCTGCACACGCCATTCTATATGCCAGCTTTGCACTGGTTTATTGAATTATATTTATTAGGTTTTAATTTGTTTTATTTTATTACACCTAAATTAATAATGTTACACAATAGGTTCTCAGGACTTAAAATGGTACAAAATGATAGAAGATACCCCTATTTCATAGAACACTCCATACAGTGTCGTCTCGAACAATAAGTTGACAAAGGAAAAGGTTATTCATCAATTTGTAAATCCGAAAATACTTAAGCGTACTTTTTTATAATTATATGTTAAAGGAGACGTCTTTAAAACGCAGTCAGGGGTAGAAGAATTTAGAACTCTAACGCCCTCTCCCACACATTCACTGAAATATCTATTGGACTTATCTGTAGTTATCTATTGCAGCATGATGTTATTAATGATAAAAACGATTTTTGCAGTTCTTAAAAAGTATTCCGGACAAACAGTTTGTTTATTTAAACGTTAACTTCTTGTCGGTGTATAGGTAAATAGAATCTATATCAACAAAACAATATCTATTCAGTTATTATTGTTTGGGAAATTGTATGTTAATTTAATGTAGTATTCCGTCGTCGTATATAATGTTATTACAATATCGCGCGCGAACTAATCAAATATCAAAAACAGTTTTATAATGAAATATTTTCGAAATATTCGAGTTGGCGTACTTTGTTCTATACAATCTACAAGTACCTATATAATAATACATTCCGAACGAAACGCACTTTCTTCGCAGTCAAAATTATTATAAAATTTAAACGAATTCGCAGATAAATGTTTATTATATCTATGTGTATAAAACGCGCGACATACTTTTAAATATAGTTCTTTGTTAAATTTAAGAAACGTTTGATCATGAAAAAAAAATACCCCCGCTATTAAAACAATTCATTTTTCATTGTTACACCAGTTTCGTTCATCGTCGGCGTTTTCTTGGGAATCAACAATTTTTAATGTGCCGAGTTTAACTTATACAGCGGACGTTATACTTTTCCATATTATTATGTTTTCTAGATTCTGAGCCAAGTGAATCATTTTTTGATTAGGGGCTACAAATGAAAATTAGGGCCTGAAACATGAATACGGCTGAAGGCCTCTAGGATTGACTGGCATTCCGGCTCAGTCCAGCCCTGTTCGTCACTTTTCGTATATCACAATTAGTAGGTAATTAAAATGTTCTCAATGAAATGTTGTGCTGTTCTTAAAAAATATTATCATAAATAATTGTCTTCATTATTTGGTAGAAAAAAAAAAAAGGAAAAGAAGTATTTTTGATTCATCCGAAATTTTTTCTTAATTATAATTTTTAAAATAACATACATTGAAAAAAAAATGTCAAACCCTTCTATGAAAATTTTTTTTCATTAAAGGTCCCGAAACAGGACGGACAGTTCTAAAAATATATCCTTGTAATAGCATGACGACTTTGGAATAAGTACTCGCAATCGTCACCGAAAAGATGCAATTTTGTGTCTTTATATACTTTTATACGACGGCGACGACGGCGACACGAGGCCATTTACGAGAAAACCCCAGAAAATCTATCTGGATTTCTCGCGGAAATACCTCCGGATTAGGGCCTTCGTCTCTGTCGTCTTAATCGCGCCTGAGAAGAGATTTTGGTGTTCGATACGGAGCTGAGAAAACGACTATATAAATACGGGATAAAAGCTTCGCGAAAAGAAGTGATGGGGAAAAAGACCGTTCAATTTTATTACGCGTGTTTCTCGACAATAAACGGACTTATTAATAAGTGGGCCGGAGGCCATTAAAAGCTCGGAATCACGGGCGATTTGCTCGGGTTTTTTCGAGTTTCGGTCTTATATAACATTTATATAGAAGCGTATACGTTATCTCCCCCAGCATCATCCAATCGTGTCCGTATAATATTATTACTATTATTATTATTATTATCGTACCTATTCTATCTCCTGCTGCCAACTCTGCCGCCACCGTCGAGGCGTCTGGCGCCAGACGTAACCGGATATGTTTTTATTTTTTGAATCTGCGCACCGTCGTAAACGACGTTAACCATTTTGTTATTATTAAACTGGTATATATTATGTAGTGCAAGTACCAATATATATATATATATATATATGTCGTAGTCCAAATGGAAAATTAGCCTTTTTGCGAAAAGACTAGGTTCTTTGCAATGAGGTAGCCCGTTTGCGCACTATTTATTATTTTTCCAAACTGCCTACTGTTTTTAAGGCTTATTGCATATAGACTTACAGCATTTAGGCCTTTCAAGAACTAAAATAATAATTTTAATATAGTAATAACTATTTTAATTATTAATAATTTAATAATTTAATATACTATAACTATATAACTATTTTAATTATTTAACACTAAACTGAACAGTCTAAATAAGTATGGTACTTGTTATATAACATTTAATTTATTTGTATAAACTGTATCAATGGTGGGTATCAGTGAAGTTTAGATTATTTTAAAGTTTTTGACTATTGTATTACTAGTTTTTTCTTACATGAATAACAAAACAGAAAATATGTAAAATATTACTTATTGTTACATGTGGTTTTTTTTGTGTTACGTTTTTCTGTCTACAACTTTGCTAATTATATTTTAAGCGTCTAAATGGCCCACCAACTACTTTTTAAATTTTGACTAAAACATAACTTCCAACTTATAAACTGTGTCGATTGCGTATTTATGAAAATCATATCAATCGTCTATATTTCAAATTCTAGGTATTTATTTACCTACATTAGTTCATCAGTCGATTAGCTTATAACTTTTTACTATACACATTTTTATCGGCATATTGTCTGTACATTCTAGACGTTAGTACACCTCCACGTTATTGTTAAAACGGTCGAATTCATTTGTATGTTTCAATGTTTATAATTTGTTATTACTAAGTCTGTCTTATTCATTATTAATATTTATTATTTTTAATTATTAATTACTTATTATTTATTATGTTATGTAATTCAATGTAATGATAGTATGTATTATAATTCCTTACACCACCACAATCTTACCTTAAAGGTGTAGGTAAATTTCGTTATTTCTATTAATACTTTGTACTATGTATATTATATTATAGTAATCTAATAATACATCTTTCTAAACAAAACAAAAAAAAAATGTCATTATCATAAATGTTAACAAATAGATGCGGTTGACATTTTACATGTTATAATAATTCTATTGATCTTTTTTTTTTTTGTAAAAAATAATAAATTACCCTCAAAATAAAATAAGTAAAATAGTTATTACGATATTACAATAATTATTGTAGTTTTTAAAAGGCCTGCTGTTAGTCTACATGCAATAATCCTGAAAATCAGTAGACCGTTTGGAAAAATAATAAGAAGTTAGCAAACGGGTTACCCCATTGCAAAGAGCTTAGTTTTTTCGCAAAAAGGCTAACTTTCCTTATGGCCTACGACGTATATATACATAATATTATTTGATTGATTATTATTAGGGTTTTACTATAAATAGATATATGGATGGTGGGCTTAAACACCATCTGGTAAATGCATTGAATTCCCAAGAAATATTGGAGGGCTCCCCGTATCCCCCGTATAGTGGTCTAGTGATAGATGTTATAATGGCGTTTTACTTACTGTTTAATATTTACTTAATTGTAATTTATCATAGGATCTTGAGTTGTTTATTTATCAATTTATTAACTTAAGGTATTATTAATTTTTTGTATTTTATTAACTATAACTGCAGTAGCAAAGGGTATAGTGGACTCCGAGTTGAACGTTTATAATTTAAAGGTGTTGTTGGTGTGTAAAATATAGGTAATGGTTGATCAGTTTTAATAATGTCTATACTCTCAATATCAATTGCCTCAGCCTACCACTGGTGACGTATGCCACGTAGTGGTCAGTGACAGAAAGAGAGAAAAAGAGACGTATTGTAAGTGACGTAAAGTTTGGCCAACTCATAATTAAAAAAAAACTATTACTATTCGTGGATATATGTGTTAAAATCTTGTTAAATTTTAATCGAAAATTATGTTCATATAAAACTTCCCTTATCGAACACACAGTAAACTCCATTAAACATTCACTAAAGTAAGATACCGTTAACTGTGTATCCGATAGAAAGCAAATAGTGAATGATTGAGTTAGTAGTTTTTGTAACGAAATATTACATTTCCTAGGAAATGCTCTCACTGAGAGGGAGAGGTAACTGGGAAATGTATACAAACTTGAAGAGGGACGTTCAGTCTATCTACTCGTGGGTTTATAAGAGAGGGGCAGCGGGCACGAAGCGGATAATCACCAAAAAAAAATGCGCCGGTGTCTTATCGACCTTCGTCATTCGATCGGCGACCGTGCGCCGAGTTCGATTCGCCGGATCCGTCAAATTTTAATACTCGTATTATAATTTATATTGACGACGCGAAATATTAATTATTACAGACCGCGATGACAACGACAGCCATCGTAGTTTTGTCGAAAAATAAAACCGCAATAAAAGGGTGATAAAAACAAAAACGAACAAGCGGAAAATTGATTTCGCGTATTGAATTATATGTTATTATTATATTGTTGTTTTCTGGAAAATATAATTACGCGAAATGAGTTTTAACCAGAAAACATCATTGCGCATTATATTATCGAACGTGACGGGGTACGATAAGTGGAACGTACGTTTTATCGAAAACGCGACAATGTTTTACGAAACCGTAATTTGTTTAGTTGACGAGCGTAGTCCGTTTTGTTGCGCGCGGAATTAAAATGTATAATAATAATACGAATAACAGAAGTCTAGATTAAAGTCCGGAAGAAATCGTCGTAGGGTATTTCGAAAATAACACCGTACACGCTTATAGGACATAAATACATGATAATTGATTTCCGCCCATCGAGTTTTTCAATCGCCTTAATATTTTTGTGTCTGTCCATCGCAATACAATTACGGACGTTGGACCGAGAAGGGCCGAACTTGTTATTTGTGAAAATGTCATATAGAGATTAACGTTAAGTAAGAATTTGATGATTATTTTATTGTGCTAGAGGGATGGTGTCTCGATCATTAAACTCCAAAAGATAGATGACAGACCAATTCCGAATGCTCTTGCAGAGTAAATTATTTCCGAAACTCTCGGCGATATTCGCGAGTAATTTTTCCCACACTATTAAATGGTGTTTCATAATATTTTGCGGAGAAAACATCATTCGTGCGGATGTTGATTATCGTTTTTATTTATATTCCTACGTAATATTATACATTTTTTTTTTTTTTTTTATGGATTGAACTCACTGCAGGTTTGAACGGGGATACCGATATTTATTATGTAACACCGTTGACATATTACGACTGTGCTATGCATTATAAAGAAATGGCGGTTATTTTTTTTCCATTCGTCCGACTGTCGGAAATCGTATAACAGATTTATAAAATTTGCCTACATATGATATTATTTTATGGATCACAAAATAATAAAACGCAAGCCATTCATTTTTTTCTTATCCTACAGTCTACGATCCTACATGTATAATAGTGTTGTGCATATAAGATGTATGCGAGTTTGGTCAACATCTGTACCAAAGTAAAATTAACGAAAAAAGGTAAAAAAAAAACTACGATCAGAGTTCTGTCACTGGAGTCGAATTTCTCCCCAATTGAATTGCGTCATTAAAATATTTAATTTTAGATTCGGAGTGGTAAGTGGAATCTATTGATTTTATCATGATTTGTGTTTTTATTCTGTCTGTAAACAATTTTTCGAACAGAAAACTTGCATTAATAGAAAAATGAGAAGAAAACCTTTTTGTTACATTTTGTATCTAGTTGGTACATAAGTGAAGTCATGTTTTGATTTTATAGAAATGTAGATAATAATTGGAGAAAAAACCGGAAAAGGCCATAAAATGAATATTAAATTATTCACGATTTTATAATTATTAAGTAATTTATAATTATATATCATTATTTTAAAATTGTACAGATTATATTTTTACCAGAAATATTGCTCCAGTCGAAAACCGACAAGGATCCTTTTTTGTTGAATTTTAGATTTAGTTGGTAATATGAGAATCATTTTATGATTTTTCGAGTAGTTTTCTTAATAATTGAGCAAAACAGAAAAACAACGTAGAAAAAAACAGGAAAGTTTATGGAAGTAATAGAATTAATGAAATAATATTCATATTCATATTTATTATTTTCATTTTTATTGTAATTCAGTTAATATTTATATTTATTCGTATTCCATTATATTTATTCGTAGAGACTTGACATTTTAACAAAAAAACTTATATTTGTCTTTTCTAGACGTGATACATTTTCAAAATATTCTAAACATATTTTTGATTTATTTTTAGGCATTTTATAATTGCGAAGTTTTTATGTATAGTTTTCTATTGATAGGTACTATATGGGTAAAATTAGTTGACCAAACAGAAATTCTTGAAAATTTAACACGATGTTAGTGGTAAAAGTATATCATTATGTAGAAGTTTTTTATTTTTATAATCGTCACGGTCGCTCAGAATCATTCTTCGGTAACAGTGGTCTATCGTTTCTTACAGATATAAACTAAATAGCTTTTATACAATCTAACTTATCAATTGATCACCTAAATTAGTGGATATCAGCAATATAAGCTCTTTTTTTTTGTTTCTCTTATAGCTTATCTAAAATAATTATGAATGCCAGTTTTATTGTCTACATTAGAATATGTAGAGGTATATTTAAAACCCGATATTTCTTTTAAAAACAAAAAAATTTGAGTACAAAAATGGTTCCGAAAGGAGTTGAAAGTTGAAATACCGCTTATTCTACTCGCGTCATGCGTATACAACATTTCATTCCATGGTTTTCTTTGAGGATCTGTAAGAGATGTCCAAAGCTAGAAAACACCGTTTTCCCAACACAAAGTTGAATTAATATTGAAGTTAAACCAAAATTTGATCACTTCAATTCATCTATAAAATAACTCTAATTCTGAAGTTTGAGTTCATTCGGCCCAGGAGTATTATATAAAATATTATAACAGACACAATACAGTGTAATAGTCTCTATTTTCTGAGAAAATGCGACATAAAGAATACGGTTATAGACGTTAAACTTAACCCTCCCGAAAATATCAAATATATTCGAAATGAATGCACCGCAATCATTTCGGTAAAACGCTCTTTAGATGTTCAGAAAAAACCGTCGAACGTGTAATCATATTATACTCAATGTGCGGTTACGAATTTAAATTTTATTTTACTTTTCTCTATAGGCCGACGAGGATCCCAAGAAAAAAAACCGATTGAAAATCGCTCGCTCAATACAAATTTCTCGCGTCTTTAGTAAATATTATACTTATATTAACGGCCCGCAGAATAAGGAACATAATACACGGGTAGGCCACTGTTATGAGTGCATTGTTAAGTTATAGATACGTTTTGTTGATAGTTTTTTTTTTCGACCAAGCTTTTGGGAATCTAGAAAAAATTGTTAAATCAAAAATATACGTCACAATGCCGAGCAGAAATTCCGCAGCATCCATCTGTTACAATAAGCTGCAGGTACGCGGAGGGTGTGGTGGGAGTTCAAGAAAGAGTTTTACCACAACTAGCCGAAAAATGGACAAACAAAAAAAAAAAAAAAACCCGCAGATTTTTAAAACTATTACAACAACTAAACTTTAACAATATTTGAATAATACACTTTTCGCTGCATGTCCCTCGAATATAATAATAACCGTTACATAAGAGCGGTTCGTATAATACACGTACCTTTTAAAATAGGTTAGGTTAGGTTAGGTTTTTCGGTAAAACGGCGAATACGGGTAACTACTTATTTGAAAATGTTTACGAAACGGATACGACATCGCGAACATGTATTTCTTATTACCGTTATTACTTTGCCCTCTATAACGCGTAATTATAATATTATAAAACTGTGCCGTACGTTTTTATAGCCACATTATCATATAAATACCGATTTATTATTATTGTCGCGCAATGTGCACACACAGTGTGTATAACGTATAATGGAACCATGAGTGCGTGCGCGTGTGTGTGTGTGTGTGTGTGTACGAACTGCGAGCGACGCGCGACGTGTCTACGACGACACAAGAGTTGACGGGCGGAACGCGAAAAAAATATTCTTTATTTTTTTGACAGTTTTACACTATACGTATATTACACAAAAAGCTGTACTACAAAAAAAACCCCGTAGTATTATAATAAGCACGTGATTATGATTGTATACGGAGTGATTGAAATATAATATGTCGATCATATTGTGCTAATATTTAATTTTAATTAAATACGGGCTCAGCTCAAATTACAATAGTAAATATTTACAGTTAGTATGATTTCAGTAGAAGTGAAACGGAACTAGGTAACCACCAGATTACAACGGAAATGAAGGATGGGTGTACGCTAGACGCATTAATCGATCAATTGGATTATTCTGACTGTAATTAGCCGTGCGTTTAGGAATAGAAAACAGAGCAACAGAGCGGGTTGGACGTGGAGGAATACGAAAGTTCATAAGGGAAAGGAGCGATGGGGCATCAGCAGATCCGCCAACAAGAAGCAACCTTATGTTGCTGTTTATTCTTCTATTAGCCCTAGTTAACAGACGTAGCTCATGGAAAACTGAAGAATAGTCGTATGAGGAGTGGGGAATATTTAATATATGACTGGTGTAGGAAAAAAAAACGCCTTTGACAGGTATTATCTTGAGCGCGTTGATTTTAACGAAATTGTTGACAAATTTGAAATAAACTTATCTAATATGTGCGTGTATGTGTGCGTGTACGTGCAGCCGGCCGGCAGTGACTTTGACTCGTACGCAACAATATTATTTATGTGGCGACCGACGTCTTACGTATAACCAATCACCAGCACCCACACTGCCATCATGGACATTTTAAATCGTATTATTGCTATTTTTTAATATCTTTACAACTACTACCGCGACTGTTATGTTAACATAGTTACTATTAATTTATTATTGTGCCGTGTTATATTCGTCTATCGTGATTTCGAGTTGAACGAGCGGTAGCATAAACATATGCTTATGCGTCTGTGAGCGGTAGCCGGTAGAGAAGACGTAGCGCCCAATGCCGGGTTTTAAAACGTTATTGTAGATATGAATAATCGCTCCTACTGTCTCTTTAAATTACGTCCTCGAAGGGACGATCGATGGACGATGAGATCGGAATCTTCCTTAGACTTTATTAGATTCTGAGCGAAGCGAAGAATGAATTGGCTTTACAATGATGTTAATTAGTTTTTTTTCTGTGAACAAATTTTCTGCCAGAAATTTTACTCCGAATTTCAAGTGTAGCACTTTTTTTGAAAGGAAACTGGACATTTAAGAACATTTCTGTGAAGATTGTCAAACATTTTTTGATTTTCCCCAAAGGTTTTTATAATTAATGGGAAACAATTTAGAAATAACGAGAACATTTTCGAAATGTATTATCTTCAAATCGTAATTATTACGGACTTTCAAAACACACAAGTATTACTGAACTCAGAATCATGTTTCGTTAGCAATGATTAGACGTTGCGTACAGATAATAAGTAATAGCCAATGGTATATTCATTAATATTAATAATTGTACAAATTATAAATTCTATTTTTTTTTTTTTAGATTTAATAGAGCTATCACTAATGCAATTTACATCAAGTTCTATGTTTTCATGTAATTGCATCAATTCAATCATTATTTTCCCATTTAGCTTCTAACCCAAGTTTTTAATTCAATAAACATAAAATTAAAAGCAAGTAATAAATCTAAATTAAAAAGACAAAAATTATAGTAATCGAATATACTATTATGGAAAAAATACAGACAAGTAAAAAATTAAAAACTAACAATCTTTTTAAAAAGCTACAAGGTATGGGGAAATAACTGTTCCCTACATCCTTCTTATTTTTATGAATTACTATGTGAAATTTGATTTAGCTTTCAATTAATTTCAATGTTTTTAACTCGTATTAAACGAGTATTCCGGGTTGTCACTTTAATATAAAATAAAAATCACACAGTGAACGATTAAGTCTTATTTATTTTTTTTTTTTTGCAAGCCTTTGGTCTCTTTTTCTTGTTTTAACAATTTTTTTTTCAACTTTTTACAAGTTAGGAATAAAATTATTCTAGATCCCAGATTGGATCATGACTCAAATTTATGAGAAACGCTGACCAATAGAGTTATTTGATAACATGTTGGTCTAAAATTTACTCGAACGAGACAGCAATGCGATCTTTAATATTATTTTCGTCGTTGGCTGTTATTCACTCGTTTTGTGATATAATAATACGATATTTCAATACAAGGTTTTTAAAAATAAATAAATAAAAACGTAGCTCGGAGTATTTATTGGTTTATTAGTTTCGTTTGTTTTGTGAAAAACAACAAAAACGCGATTGAATTTTTGAAAACGAAATAACTGTTGTTTGATTACCGGACGATATGTTTTTGGAAATTGAAGCCGGTCGTACAAAATACAAACAAAACTAATAATAGAATACATACTTCGGGCTAAACGTTTTTTCTTATATTTGTTTATTTTTTTTTTTTTATTTTACTATATTATTTATTTTAGTACCTTTTTTACGAACATTATAACCTTCTAAACAATTTGTATTTTATGTTTAGTGGTTACGTTGTACCCGGTAATTATAATAATAATTGTGCTAGGTATCTAGTATTATGATCATTATGTGTCATCGAACGCATACCGCACGTGTCGTAAAATTTAAACGGATCGCGGGTTGAAAAACATTTTGTGCATACTGTATAGTGAATGTATTTATGTAAATGTATTCTTTTTACTACCAGCAGTAGATGTACAATTTAATAATTTGAATGGCACATGTATTCTCCGTAACAATTTTCGCTTGTATTACGTGCGATCCTATGTATTGCCATATTTTTCTTTTTAAAAAAAAAAATCATGACAAATTCTCTATCACGAAATAAATAATCTGAAAAAAATGTATATGTAGTTTTAAAAATGTCCTAACCTATCTTTACTATTTGTCGTATTAGTAGTATTAAACTTGCCTTCGTATATTCTTCACGGTAGAAAATTTCACCAAGAAGACACAACACCTCGCATACGTGTTTATCGTAAAAAAAAAAAAAACGATTCTATATGAGTAATAACGGTTAAAACAAAAATATATAGACAAGAAAAAAGGTCCAGCGAAAAATATGGTCAAACACAAAAATGGCCAGAGAAAAACATGGCAGTGGAAAAAATTTGACATTCAAAATAAAATTTATTTAGATTCGGTTTTATCACCTGACAATTTTGATCACAATTTCTTCTCAACATTTTCCTCTGGTTATATATTTGTTTTATGTTTTACTATGAGCTACATAGAATTGTTTTTTTTTTCAGCGATAGTTTATCGTTGCGTAAAGATATGAATTAAATAACATTATGTATCCTCCCTTGCAAACTTTTTACGTGTAAGAGACATACCCATCAGTATTATCAATTCTCTTTTTAGATTCGGAGCATAGCGAAGGATCTATTGGTTTTACTGCGTGTTTTTTTTCTGTCTGTAAACATCTTTCGAAAAGAAAACTTGCTTCAATATATCAAGTATAGCATCTTTTTCTAAAGAAATGTTATCTGGCTGATGCATTAGAGAAGTCATTTGATTATCCTAACCGGAAAAATACGTAAAATGAAAATTAACAAATTTACGGCGTTGCGATTTTATTATTTTAAATTTGTACGCGTTATGTTTTCAACTAGAAATATTGATTTAATAAAAAAACTACAAGAAATCTGTTTTGTTGGATTTTCAATCTGATTAGTAAGTAAGAAAGTAGTTTTTTGATTTTTCATATGATTTTTTTTAATAATTGAGCTAAGCCGAAAAAAATTAACGTAGAAAGAACGGGAAAATTTACGAAAATAATGCTTTTATTTTTTTCAATTTTATTGTAATTATTATTTTGCAATTTAGTTATTAGTTAAAAATATTCATAGAGGCTTTAAATTTAGCCAGAAAACTTGTATTTTAATTTTCTAGACGTGTTAACATTTTCAAAACATATGAGCCGTTTTTATGCTATTTATAGGCCTTTTAATTTTACGAGTTTCTTATGTAATTTTTATTTGGTAAATACTCTGTGTATGAAATTGTTCGACTTTAACAGAAATGCTTGAAAATTTAACTGGACATTCATTATAAGTTGTTACTTACTGTTCAATAAAAAAATTGCAGTGTAATGTATTTTTTTTTTTTTCATTAAAATTGTAATATGATATTTTTACAAAATGAACCGTAAATATTACTGCCTTTCAAAACATGTTTAACCAAACTTCACTCCGAATCGTTTTTCATTAACAATGGTTTATCGTTGCTTACAGATATAAATTAAATAACTTTATGTATCCTGTTGCACACCCGACCTCAGTATCAACTATTTTTTTTTCTCCTTATGAGAATATTTAGCGGATGAATATGTGTAAAATACGTGTTCACATTTTTAGTTATCCACAGTTTGTGGGTTTCTCTGTTGAGGTTTCAGAGTTTTGGACCGTCTGCGGTCTATATTATAAATTAGCGTGGTTTCGTACAGTACCCAACATTAAATTTACTCCCGAAATAATTTTAAATTTACGTTATGTTACGAGTCGTGTACCTGCATACATAATTATTATTCATAATATTTTCGAAAAGCAAATTTGTCTCTGTTTATTCGTTTACTGTAAAGCGTACAATCGTGTCACTAAGATCGCTGGGGATTAAACGAAAAACACATCACTCGGTAAAATATTAGAGGCGCCAATATTTACCAGTGAAACCCGTGGGTTAACATAACATATATACATTATAATATTATGTATATTTACGTATATAAATATATTGACTTGATTTAAAAATTTAAATACAAATTATATACATACTATGTATTATTATTGAGAAAGAGAGGTTCCTTCGCATACAAGTGTGCGAAAAACTGACTTAATAACGGTTATCATTACGGCGATTTGCAGTTAACCTAATCTAAATGCCCCTTTGCAGTATTCAATACTCAATTACAACGCTCGATTTTTACACTCTGAAGGTATCTAGCCCATTATAGATGTTCAATTGTTCACACCTTTGAAACTTCTTTTAAAATGCATTAATTTTACTACGATATTTACTTTGGTAAATATTTATATTTTGGCTATATTTTATTTGGTGTCTGTGAACAACTTTACTACCAAAAGTCTCCAATCAATTAAAAACGACGAGACCTTTTTTGTAGAATTTCGGATCTATTTGGTGAATTAAAGAAAATAATTTTTTTTTTTAAATTTTCTGAAAAGTTTTCATATAAATTTGGAAAAACTAAGGATATAAAACTTGACATTTTCAAAATGCTTATATTAACTTTTACTAGACGGAGTAAAATTTTCAAAAAATTCTGACGATTTTGAACTATTTATAGATATTTGACATTTCCGAATTTATTAAATTCGGAGTGTATAGCGTATTGAGTTTTCATTTGGCAGGTAATCTGTGAATAACATATAGTTTGGCCAGACAGAAATGCTTGAAATCTTAACACAATAGCATCATACATTTAATCAAAAGTTGAGCATTCGGCTAAAAATATACCGCGTTAATTGAGTAGTATTTCTTTTTATACGCACGTTTAAATTAAGAATTTGTGTGGAAATCGTAAAAATATCACGTTACTTGGCATACTATATTTCGATATACGAGAATATGATTTGTTAATTATTATTGTTGACCAAAACGTTTCAGAATTGTATTTCGTCGGTAATGATTTACCTATCCAACTTCCCGCCTACAACCGTGTCACGGCGGCTCACGCGGTACCAAATAACAGTATCCAAACTTATTATTATTTATTTTGCCCGTCCATAATTGAGGCCATTTGAGGCCGGCTCCACATACATATTATAGTAGGAATAGGTAATCGAATTTATACGTTCAAACGGAACATTAATTTCGATGTAGTGTTTTGTTTTGCCCATCACACAATAAATATATACCCGGTGCAGATATTATTATTAATCTGTCGTTGTGTGCGTGTGGGCAATTGTGTAGGTTTAATCGAATATCGCGTTGAATTCCGTAGCTAACTAGTACAGCGTGTTGCTATTATTGTTGTTATTATAATAGGTAAAGGCGAATATTATCATATAAATTAAAACAAACAATTTGCGCGCAGTGTTGCGATCGCCGTAATATAATATTATTGTCGACGAATCTCCGCGCAAAGACGCCGGCCCCCGCAATTTGACTTTTGCGGTATACCTTAAACAACGCCGCATAAATAATAATTCCGTTAGCCTGAGATGTCGAGTTTTATTATTATGTTGATTAAATTGCTCGACGCTATCAAAATAATATTAAGTAGATAGCAGATTCAGCAGATATAGATGATAAACCGGATCGCGACTAAATAGTCGAAGTTTTAAAATCCGCCATTTTTGTTTGAGCGATGGGTTTTATCACAGCATATTATATTATCGACAATGAATATTTTGAATTATTTCTAAAACTACATTCTTTATTCAATTAGACGGTGTTTTATATTGAAAATATATTCATGTATTAATTTCGCGGTTTTTCCCGGTTTTCTCAATTATTGAAAAACTGCAAATCAAAAAAATAACCTACTTAATATACCTGCTAACAAGATCCAAAACTCAACAAAAATCATCTTTTGGTTTGTATTGGATCGAAGCAATATTTCTGGTGAAAAAAAAAAAAAAGTAGTTTATACTTACAGAAAAATAAAATATCACACATTTTAGTAAAACCAATTACGTGAATTTCTCACTGCGCGCAGAATTTAAATATCACCGCGAACCACCTCAGTATTTTCTACTTCTCTGCGGAACATTTCCTCAGTTAGATTAGATTATCGTCGTGTTGTTGCGAAAACAACCGTCGAGCATATATTATTTTGTTATATTAAAATATTTTTCTCGTTTGTCGTACTACTACTGTAACAGCGATGACGGCAGTTCAGTCTCGTGAAAAGAGAATAAATAAGTAATAACATTTTTGTACATCAGTCGAGTTAATATTTTAAGCTCGTATTTTAAATCGAATTTCGACGACGAACAAAGTATACACGGTGAGCCGTAGGTACTGCCCGTGGTTGTACGTTCGCGTATTATAGAGTGGGATCTACAAACGGAAATCTACAAACAATCATAATTTCGTTTTCGAGTCGGTTAATATATTTATTATTGTATAAGGTCGTGTATTGCACGGTATCGTCCCCGGGTCTTTTCTCCGCTACCGCGACCGAGACATGCCGTTACACCCGCGTCTTTATGAATCCGTTGTGAAATCCGTGCGAATACCACTTAATACCCCAAAGCTCCGGTTGACTCGAGATTCGTGACGCGCAGGTACGGCGAAACATCAGAAGAAATTCGATTACATACAACTATGGCAATTATTCCGTCCACGTCGAAGAGCACGGAAATTCATCGAATTATTATTACGCATTTATCGCCCCGATAACACTCAGGTACTTACCGACAAACGCATTGGCATTTCAATCAGATTTCTCTTTCTTGCAAACAACGACGACTCGGCAATTAAAAGTCACCGTCGTGGTAATATTCTTCAATTATTTAATACGTTTAACGAAAATCGATAAATAATATAATTACACCTCCCGCGTTACGATGATGGACCGCATAGATTGACAGGACGGCGATACAGCAGTTTATAATAATGATCAATCAGTCCACGCGAAAAATCGCCCGATGGTAATTACACTGACGGAAATGATAAAAAAAACTATATTAGTTTCTATGTAAAATATTTTAAAAAAAAAGTCTGACGTAATTTCCGTCACGGGTGGCCACTGTAGTAGGCGGAAAGTTTAAAAGGTAGGTATAATAGTAATTAATTAATTGTTGTACTGAAAAAAAACCAACATGAAAATAAATCATTGCAATCAAAAATTCTATTCTGAATGTAGCAGCATTTACCCTTGTTGTCAAAATAACCCGGTAAACAAAAAAAATAAAACGATTTATCAACATTTTGTTACCAATTTTTATTAGAAAACCTTCAGTAAACTACGTTCCAATAGCTGGACAGTAACTAAAGCCAGTTAATAAATTTAAAATTACTTTTGTTGATCACTTTTAAATTTTTAACTTAACTAGTTGACTATATATACAATGTTAAAAAATAACTTGGTTATTTCTTTTCATAATTAATTCTAACTTAATTTAGATATTTTATATTCTAAGCGGAGCAAGGAACGTATTGTTAAAATGTAAGTTATTTTTGAATTTGTTGTACAAAAAAAAAACCGTATGCCTATGTTCTTTTCATTTATATTTCATCTAAAACTATACGTATACTCTTACGTGAATATTATTATCACATAACAAGACGAACACGTAGCATATGCAGGGCTATAAGATACCTACATCCTTCTTGTACAACAAGTCTATAAAAGTCTAAACATTAGAGTACAAAGTACGTTTATAATTGTTTCGCAAAAGATAATTTGTTTAAAATAATCTTTTACATGGGCAACACAATATTTTTTTTTTTTTTTTAGATTCTGAGTGAAGCTGAAAATTAGTTTTATGTGTATGTTTTTCTTTGTCAATTTCGACACAAAGAATATGGTTCCAATCATCGACATCAAAGGGAGTTTCTGAAAACATTTTTGACCTATATAGTAAATGCATTCAATGGGTAATTTTTAAAAATTCCTAGTATAGGTACATTTTACAATAGAGGAAAATAAAATAACAAATGATGGTAAATAAACGGGAATATTTTATATTAATTTTTTTAGAAAAAATCTGTACATGGTACGATAAGAGATCTGAAATATCGAACATCCAGAAATCCGATTTTTTTTTTATTTCAATTTCCTTATGGAAGTTTATATTTTTCTTTTTTTAGATTCTGAGTGGAATGAGGAATGTATTGGTTTTACAATGACGTTTATTATTTTTTTATGTGAACACTTTTTCTACCAGAAAGCATACTCTGATTGTCAAGTATAACACTTTTTCTGAAAGGGAATTTTTTCTGGGTAGTACCTTAGGGAGGTCATTTTTTGAAATTGTCATTAATATTAGAGATAACAAGGAAAACCTCAATCTTTAAGTTAAAAAAGGTTGAAAAATTAAAAATAAGATTATCATTGGCAACTGTTTTTATTTATTTTTTGTTATTATTAAGTTTTATTATTTTAATCTTTTTTGAATAAACATTGTTGTCATGGAAATGCACATTGTTTTAATAATTTTACTATAATATGACATAATACCATATATTGTATTACTGACAAAGCAACATTATCAACTGAACTCGGCTCAGAATCGTTTTTTCGTTAGAAATGGTTTATTTTTGCTTAAAGATATACATTAAATTCCCGTATGTAGCTCACCTTCCCAAGTCCCCACTTACAACAGGAGCTGCACCCACGTGCGAAGTATGCTCGTCCTTTTTCTTATTTTATATCTGGGTTCTATTGGTTACACTGACAATAAACAACTCCGATTGGTGCCACCGAGTTCTGATTTGAATAAGGTTAAGATTTGTCATTTGTAGTAAATACTTGATAAAAAAAAACCCAGATTCTGAGTTTACGTCAAAATTAAAACCTCCTCTTTTCGTTGAACAGTTATTACGGAGTTCTAAAATTATATTATAGAAGTAATTTTACCTACTTGTTTAAATATTCTCGAATAGTATTACCCCCTCTCATCCCCTAATACAAAAATTATAGGTTATAAACCGTGATGAACGTGTAATTTGACAAAAATAGTGTTTTAGATTAATAAGACAACAAAAAGGAAAATCATGAATATTTTACCAAAATAATATTTTCAGTAAATAATTTTACTTGCAGCGCAATAATCGTATACAATTTTGTAATATAATTAAACCAAATTTACGTTGTATTTTAATTATTTAAAGTCATTAACGTGACGCAAAGTACATTTTTAATTATTTATGATGTAATTACCCATACCAAATACGATTTACTTGCGAATACCAATTTCAAAACATAGTGCAGTTTATTAAAAACTTCATTTCGCGGATTCTCACGTACATTAGATTTTAATTGTGTTATCTAATAACTTCATATTTTTAAATATTTTATAAATTTGATATTGTAATTATAAACTAAATACGATTTTTATTCATATACCGCGGTCACTAATTATTTTATTGTACCGGAAAATTTCCGGTAAAAAACTACATTTATTTTTACAAACTATAAATTGATGAAACTAAAAAAGGTGTTTTATACGTTTTGTCTGAGGCGTACGTCGAGTTGAAAAAAATGTAAATTGACGCACAAACAAAAAGTTTGTATACGCGCGAACTCCTTGAAAACATTAATAAAGGGAGGAATACGTTTATCCATAAAAAAAAATAAATGTTATGAAAGTGAAAATGGTAAAAAAAAATTTAACACACACACACACACACACAGTTACCTTAAAGTATAATAATAATATGTATAGAACGTAGAAAAAAAAATATTTCAAGAAGGTTCATAAGTAATAAAATTAAACATTTTGAACTATAGTATACGATGCGTTAGAATAGTAGCATTTTTCAAATTTAGGAGGGAGAGGGTTAACATCTAACGTGCTCCTTCCTGTATACGTGTCTGGATGTTATTGAAATATTTATAACGCGCTTTTCAATGCAAACAGTTAAACATTATATGCGAACGATATGGTACAAGTATACAGGCTGAGTTTTTTTTTTTTTTATCATAATATAATATTGGCTTTTGCTGTTCGAATAACCACCCGCGATTTTAACCCTAAAAAGAAAAAAAAATGTCCTAAACATTTTTATATGACACTCCCCTGAATCCGAATCAATTGGGTATTTTCGTATTAGATTAAAGGTGGATGTCTCGGGTCCCTACATTTTTGGAGCTCCCAAAAATTTTAAAACAAAATTAATTTTTAGAGCGTAAAAAAAAATCTAGTAGATATTAATAATATAATAAAAGTATCACGACAAATAATTTTGATCGTTTTACGAAAATATTCAATTTGTAATATGGTGTCATTACATATTATAACATAGACTTCATCGTAGATAATAAAAGTCATTTGTAGTAAAGAATGTTGTTCTGGTAAATAAATAATATAAATTATAAGGTATAGTGATATTTTTCAGTTAATATTTTCACTATCGAAATATCATTCTTATCAGTATCTCGGCGACCGCCCCGCCGCCGTCTGATAAAGTAAAATTAAATACAAATATAAAATGAATTTATTAGAATACAGAAATTAACCACCGACACAACTGCCACTTGACTATGAGTATACGGTTGTAGTGTGAGAACTTGTCAATTTTAAGCATTAAATGTGATGTTTTAGATGTATCATTTGAAAATATATAATGAATGACTTTTCTGAGAAGAAATCCGGAAAAAAAAAATTTAACTACCTAATAATTTTATTTTATTTTTTTGTTTCAATTTATAATATCGTTTTGGTCATCGTATTTATAATCAATACTAATGTATTGTTTTCAATCTATATATATAAAAATAAATCCCTATTTTCCTTAGTCATCGCATCACGTGGAAAATGCTTGGCCGATTTTGACGCAGTTTTTTGTAAAATGTTCCACATCGTCCGGAGAAGGTTAATTGCTATTAAAATTCGCCCTCTATTGAATAACATCCCCTAAATTCAGGTCATAAGTAATTATAGTTCAGAAATTAATTTTTTTTTTTTTTTTTTTAATTAGAGGTTTCCGTGGTAACATCGATACCAAAAAAATGAAATCCATGTACTGGTGTAGAGGTATCTATGAACAAATATATTTATTCATTTCTTAGTGTACAGTCTATTCTATCCGAACATTTATCCAGCTTTGATTTTTTTGAGAAATTTTTGTTCATTGCAGTTAGATCAGCACAATTCGGTTCAACAAAATGCCACCAATTAGATGTACCAACCAAGGGTCACAGAGGTTGCGATTTGAGAGGAATGTGTGGTGTTGATGAAATAAATTCTAAATGATAATATATTTTTTTTATTGTATGGTTGCTATTGGTTTCAGATTAAAATAATAGTATATTGATTACTATTGGTTAATCGAACATGTTTTTTGATTTGTATTATTTGTTTTCGATAATATATTTAGTAAAAGTTGTAATGATGACAGATATTTGAACTCGATACCATTACGTTAATATTATAAACTTTGTCTTTATATACTCTATAGACAAAAATGTAAAAGGTTGATCAAAACGTATTTATGGTAATTAATAACGCATAAGATTGCAAATAAAATCTATAAAAAACTGTCTACTAGAATGTACAGCTCTTACTGGCTGTGGAACTGGGGAAATGTTCTTATCAATGATATCAACCAATCTACCATTCCAGTTTAAATAACTCAAATTTCCCGAGAAACTATGTTTTTCTACGACCAAAAATAAGGTACAAGGTCAAACATTAAATGTTGATGGTATAGAGTTTAGACCTAACTGTCCAATATTTTTCCTATGGTCAACTGTTCATACCTCTATCACGTGTCACATGCAAAAAAAAAAATTCCTGGCCTCAGGTGAGACACTTAACGTGATGTATCCAGAAATATTTAATGTTTAAGGCAAACAGTAATTTAAAATTTAAAAATATATGTCATAACAGAATACTTTTAGTCTGCTGAAGGAGGACTACCAGCTTTCCACTTATTAGTTTTAATTCATAACTGATACTGTCAAAACCAAAAAGGAATATGGGTAAAAAGATAATAAAATTTGTCACGGACAAGGCCGGGTAGGACAGCTAGTGAGTTTATAAAGTTATAATTTATGCAATATTTCTGTTTACCTTATAATACAATATAATAAGTAATAACTAACTGTACTTCATTTTAAATAATTTCAGCAAAAAGAAAAAGGTATTAGTTAAGTAAGTAAAATTTTTATTTCAAACAGCTGACATTAGGAAATGTATCTGAATTAAAATTACTTCGTACTCGACCTTAAAGACTAATTAAACATAATAGTATATCCTACAAATTATGTTTTGAAGTGAGGGCCCTCAAATATTGTTTGCCATGGGCTCCCAATAGTGTAAATTTGATTAAAAACATTAAAAATTCGTTGTAATGAGCGGAAGGCGACTTTTGAGGAGTTTCCGTTAAAAATATATTAGAAAAGTTGTTGTGCGAGAAAATAAAGTCGATCCAGATTTGACAATTCTAAGTTTTCCTTTTTAGTTTTTGCCATTCCGGATTTTTCCGTTTCAGATTTGGCCATTTCAAATGCTGCAGTTTTCTACGGTGCTATTTCGGATAATGCTCAAATTCCCATGTCGACGACGTCAAATTATGTAGGTGAAAATCGTGAAAAATTAACGAGTGATATGTATAGAGCACCCATATTATCACTAATACGAGGTGTCTGTCAACTTTGACGTCCGTCCGTGATCGTACTCTAAGTGAGACTTTTTTTTAAGTGGATTCTTGTGTATACATTTGTTTTTTGTTTTTTTCTGTCCTCTGCTACGATAGTTTTACGACGACGACGTTCTATACGAAGAAGACCTGAAGAGCGAAAAAATCGTATGCGTCATTAGTCATTACGCATCGCGTTCGTTTTCGTTGCTTTTATTTTTCTTGACGGTCTTTCCGTTAGGCGAGTTTCAGTGCGATTTCCTCGGGGAACCTACCGTGGAGACAATAATACTTGGACTGATGATGAGTCGGGTCCCAAACTCCATAATACTTTAGGTATTAAAATTTCGGGTCTGGTGTACTTTCTGCAATGTATACTATTTGAATCGAACGGGGATAATTTGTTAATACTATTTTCGTAAATATATTGGTCTGTAACTATAATATACTAAAATGGTTGTGACAGTTGTCATTTTAATAATTAAACTCGGGAAGTCTTACATAATATATGTGTTTTGGTCTAGGGAAAAAGTGCCATTGATTAATTTTCAAAACAAGCAAATTTAATTTTAAAAACAAAATAAGATAATGGGGATGGGTGCAGCCACTGTTTTAGGTGGAAAGTTAGGAAGGTAGGATATAGACAAGAATTTAATGTACATCTGTAAGCAATGATAAACCATTGCTAACGAAAAATAATTCTAAATGGAGTTCATTTGGTAGTGATTCTTTGTCAACAATATATATGTCATATCATGGTAAGATAACTAATTAGACATTATATATTTTCTTTGATAATATTTGTTTAATGTTGTACCAATATTAGTTTAATATTTTTATGAACCAGAACTTTAAAATTATAATTTTAACCAACCGGAACGGATTCAAAAGCTAATATAGGCTTTATATATTTTCTTTAATTGTATTTTTTTTCCGATTTTCCCATCTTTTATCTAGGTTTTTCCCATTTATTAGAAAAACTGTTGGAAAAATCAAAAATTGACGGAGCAATATTTCTGGTAGAAAAGTTGCTCACAGATAAAAAAAAAAAAAATTTCATTGTAAAACCATAAACTTCTTCGCTCCATTCGAAATCTAACATGTATACATAAGTACATAAAATAATACGAAGCAAAAATACAAAACTAAGTAGAAAAAAATGTGAAAGATGCAGCCACATATAGGCCGTTTTCGCTGATATGCGTCGTAATATTGTAATGTGCCGCGTGATCCTTTCGGCTTACGAGACATAATACAATATTGAAACGATAATAATAATTAATAAAGTCTTTTTGTGCTCGCAATAAAACGACGATGCCGTTATAATGCGATCTTATAAATTATTATATTATAATATTATATAATATACAAATGCGTGTCTTCGCCTCTTCGGTTGATTGATGTATACGCGAGTATAATAATAATTATAGTGTCAACATTTTTGGTTGTTTTTTTTTTTTTTTTTTTTTTTTTTTTTTTTTTTTTTTGTTTAGTCTTTTTTTTCACAGTATACTACCGCTGTCACGGGTTAAGTGTAATTAGTTTAAAGTTTAAACCTTCACTCGCAGTATCGATACCACGTATATCTCTCTTAAGATTGACCCCGTTTTCCACGAAAAAAAAAAAATTTTGATACTGCTGAAGGGTGTACCACCCATCAGAAGCCAGAAGACAATAAGATATAATAGAGTAATTTAATTTAATTTATAATTGTACGTAGTAATAAACCGTGATTGTAAACGAAACACGACTCGGAACAGAGTATTAGTCGTATTTTTACCCTTGTTGGCAAGGTATCCCAGGAATCAACAAAAATGTTTAAGCAATTGCCAATTTTTCCCGTATATTAAAAAAAAAAATTATAAAAAAAATTAAAATATGATCTCTTCAATGCACCAACTAGATTAAAAATGTTGCAAGGAAGAAGTTCCTATTAAGTTTTTGATTGGAGCAAGATTTCTGGTAAAAAAAGTTATTTATAGATAAAAATAAAAATAAACGCTCATCATAATGACCCCAATGCATTCTTTACTTCGCTTAGAATTTATAAA